TCAAGGCAGCCTTTCCAATGTACCCTCAGGGTGGAGCCATCCTGATCTCACCATCCCCTTCTGAATTCGAGGCTCCAGCCCAAGGATATGATGCAGACTTCTTCTTCTGTTCTTCACCATGCTCATCTTGTTAGCCATTTCTTCCTCCTAGATATCTTTGATTTGCTTCCATTTCCTCTTCCATTTCTTCTAAAATTTAAAAATATATATGCTGCTATTTCATATTGTACCACCTGTGACTTTTAAAAACATTATTTAAAATCCAGTTTCTCTTCTGTTTATAATTTTTCAATGAGTAGAAGCAGTTTACTTACATTCTATATTGGTTAAATCATGTTAGTCATATAGTGATTTATATCATAAACTCTCTAACCCATTTTGTTGGTCATAGCAGCTAAACTGTGAAAAGCAACACACAGAATCCCATGGTGTTTCTTCTCCTTTAAATGAATTCATGAATGCATTATATTTTTAAAACCTGTCTTACATTACTTCTACCAAACTACAATTTATTCTAGGATATTGAATAAATTGTAGTTTTAGTTTCAAGAGTACAGATTGAGCTATGTAGTACATATATTTTCTTTCCAAAACATCATTAAAATGACAATAAAGAAATAAAAAGCTTTTAATCTTACAGCGAAGAAAAGAGGATGAGGGTGGCTATCTGAACGTAAGATAGTTCAACACATTTATTGCAAACGGAAGTCAGATGGATGATTTTATCTTGATGAGCCAAAGTAAAGGAAGCTTCCAACGTAAATATTTATGAAAATTTTTAAGTGGAAGAGAGTTGTGGAGTAAGAGATTGCAAGATAAATGAATGTCAGCAGTGAAAAATGAATCCACAGTCAATGTCATTAGAGAAAATACTTAACAATTGATCCCAAAGAATGTTGACCACTCAGAATGAACATTGAAAGTAAACATTGACCAATAACCTTGTCAGTGTATACTGCTTAGCTATAACTCATATATCCTTTAAATGTAACAGTGTACTTACAGTACACTTGAGCACGGAATGGGTAGAAGCTAGAAGCTAGAAGCTTGATGTTATATATACCAGACCAATGCAGGTCTCTTCTCTAAAGAAACGGAGTAAAATGTACAGTGCTAGAAAAGGCAGACAAATGTGTCATGTGTCCTTCTAGGGGACACTGTATATGCCAAGGATTCCCAATAGAGAGACTGCTTGTCAAGAAAATCTATAAGAAAGCTGAAAGATTAGCCACTTGAGAAAGACCCAAAACACACACACACACACACACACACACACACACACACATACACACACACACCCTTCTCCAACAATTAAATGACTTTGAGATACATATGTATTTCAATTATGTTTAAAACACTGGTTCTTATTCCAGTTTTATACGATTTTTCTTTCTTTTCTTCCTCCACCTTCCTCTTTCTTTTTTGTTGTTTTTGTCCTAGAGATTGAACACAAGGCCTCCCATGCACTAGATAAGAGCTCAATAACTGAGCTACACACCATCCTGCTCTTACTTAGAAGCCCTAGTGTTTTACTGTGCATTGCCCATATGGGGCTTGCTTAAATAGTCCACCCATTTCCTTACTCCCTTTAGTCAGTTTTAGAAGAATTTTAGATTCAATGTATAAGAATTTCCTTTTACTAATTAGAAGATAGGTAAATATATTTGACACAGTCATTAAAAATGCCTGACTTGCATTTGAAATGCAACCTTGTAATATATTTGAAGATATTATAATGCTAAAAAAAGAAAACAAGAAATGAAGCCAGTAGATATATTTTTAATACTATAGCATATTTCCAGTTACCACATTTTTTGCTGATGTTTATACTTAAAACTATATTAAAAATTTCTTATCCTGAGTAAAGAGCATTACTGAAATTACTGTATGCCACTCTGAAAAATGAGAGGAACCCATATTTAGTTTCCATAATGAAATCCATATTTGCTTGGTTATGATCCAAATTGGTTTTGAAAAGTATATATTTAATTGAGGCTGATGAAGTGGTCCAAAATTTAATAAGGATAAAAAGAAAGGAAAATTTAAAGAGAAAACTATCCAATTAAAGATGAGTAACTGATGATTGTTCAACTCCAAGAATTAATATTGATTAATGGTCTCTAATTTAGCGGGTCTTGCCAGGATAGAGATGCAAGAGTGTAAACTCAGCATCCTATCAAGCAGTTGTGCTGTAACTTGCCTCTGTCCGGATATTGCAAAATTGGGATCAAAGCCTTGGGAACTTTTCATACGTTGGGACCTCAGTGAAGCAACAAATACCACTTTTGGGAAATTAGTTCTTAAAACTTTTGGGTTATTATTGTCAGTTTCCTAAAAAATGGCCCAAACATCCTTCTACGATTATACGAATCTGTTCTCTGTTCTTTTACCTGAATACTGTCTAGGCCTGCTATTCATAGTAAGTTACTACTGTACACTGTATAGTGAATGCTGGTAGGTTTTGGATATATTTTAATTGTTCAAAGATGTGAAACATATTTGTTATTTGCTACAACATCAGTGTCTTAGTCAGTGAAGAGACCATGACCATAGTAACTCTTATAAAAGAGAGCATTTGATTGGGGCTTGCTTACAGTTTCAGAGGCGTCCATTATCACCATGGCACAGAGTACGCCTGGAGAGGTAGCTGAGAGCTCTAAATCTGGATGCACAGGCAACAGGAAGAGAATGATTGGGACTGGCATGGGCTTTTGAAACCTCAAAGTCAACCCCTATTGACATACTTCTCCAACAAGGCCACACTTACTCCAACAAAGCCATGTCTCCAGTTCCTTATCAAACAATGCCATTCCCTGGTGAGTAAACATTCAAATATATGAGCAGAAAGGGGCCATTCTTACTCAAACCACCACAATCATGAAGTGAGATCTGAAAGATGAGCAGGCATTAACTGGGCAGTTTATCATCTATAGAAAATATGTAAAGAGTGGACTTTTTCTATCGTGGTTTATTTGCATTTTTCTTTCACTCATGTTTGGGATAGTTAGAAAGCAATTAGCAACAACTTTAAAGGGAGTTCTTCTCTGATGCATTCATGCAGGTGTCATCACGTTCCAGACAGAAACGACCTGAAGGAGGAAAGATTCCTTTTGTCCCACAGTTCCAGAGCTCTCAGAGGTGGAGAGGGCATATGGGAGTTCATGTTCACATCATGGCAGGACAGGAAGCTGAGACAAGCTGCAACGTGCAATAACCCCACTCCTAGTCATCCAATTTGAACAGTTTGATTCTGTTTCTTCACACCAGCAACACTCCCACTTCCCAGACAGGGCTCAAAATATGAACCCAGGAGGGTTAGCTCACTATTCAAATCATAGCACGACATTAAACGATGACCAAGAAGTGACCGTAATGATAATCTCTAAAGAAATGCCTTTAATTGTTCTCAAAGTCATGCATTGGCTTCACAGTTTTGAGGCGGCTTCACAGTTTTGAGGCAAGTGATACCAACCACAACAATGAAAGTTGGAGGAGCATAGTGAACACTTTGCTGACAGACAGGCTTCCAGACTGTACTGAGCAGCAAGATAGCAGTACTCTTAGTATATTTGAGGGACAACTTCAGATAACTGGAATGTTATAAAAATTAAAGTAAGAATTGGAACTAAAAGCAATAGCATTAACTTCTTTGGCATAAGTTTCTGCTTTTTCATCCTGAAATTTTATTTTGGCACAAAGATAGCAATAACACTAAGCCCTCTACTGGAATCCAAGCAGAAGATAGATTATTTTGCCTTAGAAATTTCATTATAACGGACTAACTGTGGAGCAGATGAAAAGCATTTTAATTTAATGGGAAGAGCATCTACACCCAAGGGGGGGGTAGCCTATATTTAAGATGCAACTTTAATTATTTGTCACCTCTTCTTTAAAAAATCAGGAATAATAAGATTTTAGTCAATTAAATTATAAAAATGAGAACAGAAAAATGAAAAATATTTTGAATTATAAATTCTTATAAAAATATGAAAATTTAGAATAGCAAAATTTGGCATTTCTTCTGTTTAAAAAAGCAGGCTTGAAGCCTATGCACCCTATCCTTTCATTTTAGGGATATTATACAAAGAGAGTACAGACCACACTGATGTGGGAGTACAGAGCCTGACGTGGAATCAGAATCTAAGTTAGTTATGGGAACCAGCCAGTGTAATGCTGTCTTTTAAGTAGAAAGATTATTCCTAATCACAGTGTCCTTGTAGCTCATGATTTTGTGGTCATGTACTCAAATGTGTATAGTTTAGGATTTCTGATCAGTGTTTATTTAAGTGGATGTACTTTGGGATTCAAGATTTATCTATATGGTTTCAGGGATGACCTTTTTGAAAACTAATTAATGAGTTCTTCTCTAGGGAAGACTATTTTTCCTCCTCCTGCTCTCAGGGTTCCTTAGTTGATTGTAGTTCTGTTACTAGGGTTGATCCCTCCCGAGCTTTCCCCATCCATGTTAGCATGACTATTGATGTTGTCTTTGTTCAGTTCATGTTTAGACATCCATGTGAAACTTCATGGGTGTAACTTTTGATACTACAACCACACAGTAGACTCCATGATTTTCTTATAACCTCTCTTTCCACAGTGTTATCTGAAAATTAATTGCAGGAGTGTTTGTAGACATAGCCACCAGGACTTGGTTACACACCTCTCATTTTGACTGGTGATTGTGTGATTTTAGTAGTGTTGGTTGTAGGTTCTCCTCCAAGCTCCATGACTGCAATAGTCCCGTGTTACTCTCTATGTTTCCATCACCAGACATTATTTCTATCTTGCTGAACAGGTCCTTAGGCCAATTGAAATTCTACTGGTTACCACTAAGGTGTGCATGACACTCTTGTACTCTTAGGGTAACTGGGCCATATTGGTCATTGTTGTGGTTCATAGACATCATAGTTGGATTGGAATGTTGGTTGCATCTTTCCATTGTTTGGAAGCTTGCATAGCACCTTCTGGTACCAAGAAAGTCAGTAGCCACAGAGAAAGCTTTCAGGCCAGTTTCAGCTCAGAGGACTCTTCCCATGACTGAAGTGCATGGTGCCTTTAGCAACAGAGACTTACCTTCCAACTATGGGAGAAAGCAAGGGCAACAACAATAGCCTATAATGTTCTGAGAGTCTCTGGGGCAACCTTGATCAACTACTCTAAAGGAAGCTGCCTATGACTTGTATTATGATTTTTTTAGGGTATCTATATCTAATATATCTATATAATATTTACATATAAATATAACAGCTAATTTAGGTAGGTAGTTGATGGTGTGATTCTTTATGACTTTCACAGACATATTTACTGCTCTTTTACCCTTCTCCACTTTTCTGTTTAACTCTATCCTCCCACGTTAATCAGAGCCTCTCATTTTCTTCATCACCCTGTTTAGATTACTTGTACCATGATGTTCTCTTGTCTATTGCTCCCTAACCCCTTCTCCCCACAATGGTCCTTTTTTTACTCTTCTGGTTAACCTGGAATAATTGCAGAGACCTAATTTTATTTGTAGATATGTATTTGCAAATTTTGAATATTAGTTAGACCAAGAGCATCTTCTAAAAAGAAGCTGAACGTCAGATATTTCTTCTCCCTCTTGGCAACTAGAATAGAACCAGAATATAGGCTTAAGCAATCACAATGATTCTACACAAGTCATTAGTGATGTCAATTTCTCTCTGTATTCTGTGATTACCATTGATTAATAAAGGAACTGCTTTGGGCCTATAGCAGAGCTATAGGGGAACAGAGCTAAATGGGGAAAACTAAACTGAGTGCTGGAAAAAAGAAGAGCAAAGTTAGATAGCAGTCATGTAGCCCCGCCAGAGATAGGCACCAGTTAGAATTTCGCCGGTAAGCCACAGCCACAGCTACAGAGTAATACACGGATTACTGGAAATGGGTTAAATTAATATGTAAGAGTCAGCCAATAAGAAGCTAGAGTTAATGGTTCAAGTAGTGATTTAATTAATACAGTTTCTGTGTGACTATTTTGGTTCTATGTGACTGGGACAAACTTGACTACAGCTGGAATTAACAAAAATCCTGAAAGAAAGGACACACCTCTGAGTAATTTTTGCTGTTGTTTTCTATTGTATCAAACTTAGGGACAATTCTGCTATGAAATCAAAGTAGAAAGATCTATATCTAATACAGATTTTTGAGGTAGGAAGACAGAACTTTGATCCATATCTTTAATATTATATATCTTTAATTCAGATTTAATCTGAACCATGTCTTTTACTGGAAGTCTATGAGGAATTGAAAGAAGGAAGCATTTGATCTTTTCCTGCTTGTACTCACTTTGCAAGTAAGTCCATTTTTCACTGTCATTAGAGTCTAATTCTTCAGGATTCCAGAATATACTAAAAACCAGCTGAGACATCCAGCCCTGAGGACTGAGAAACTACTGGATTCTTGGACTTTTCATTCATTCTGGCCATTGTTGGATTAGCTGGACTACAGCCTGTAAATCATTCTAATAAATCTCATTAAATTTTATTTATGTATCTATCATCTATCTATCTATCTATCTATCTATCTATCTATCTATCTATCCATCCATCCAAAGAGAAGGAAAAAGAGAGAGATCGATTCTATGAGTTATGTTACTTTAGAGTACTCATGTATTCATATTTCAGGTTTAAGTGAAGTCAAATCTCTTTTGAAGACATTTTTCTTTCTGTTTATTTTTCATTCTTCCTTTTATTTAAATTGACATCACCAAATTTTTTTTCACAAGGTTACACAACCTAGTTGAGTCAATGCGCAAGGATGCCAACAGAAGATGAAACCCTGATGGAATCCAGAGTGGACTGAATGATGAATCCAGAGTGCATCTTTTGTAGATATCCAGATCTTCAGCAAGAAGTGAAGGGTTCAGCCAGTATGGCACCAGTTGCCAGTGCCAGAGGAACCTTGTCAGGCTATCACAGTGTTCCATTATCAAGAGCAGAGCAGTGGTGTAGTAGGTGATGCATCTGTGACCAATATAAGCTGGCATAACAGAAGCTGTGAACGGGAGCTTCCCAGCCTGGAGCGAGTGTTTACTGATGGGTTATTGGTCCTCTTAGTCCAGAGGAAGGCTGGGCAGAGACTTGGACAGCTGGAGCCCCCAGGACAGTTGTGTTGGATCATTTATTCTAACATTGTAAACAGTATAATTTTCCACGGTGCTATGATGAGATAAATATTGGGAAGTGTTGTGATTTAAGGAACCACCAACCATCTGCTAGATGCAATGCCAATTCCAGTCCTCTAATGTTACATACTGAGTGATTCCTCATGTGGTCGGAAAGCTCACAGCTCAGAGGCTCTTTGCTTCCTGGTTTCCTGATCGAGAATGTGAAATAGAGTCCGCTGTGAATGCTTCTGTTTAATTCTGTTTTTACAAGTATTTTAGAATAACTTCTTCCCTGGGAAGTAGATTGATAGCTGAACTCATGAATTTGGTACTGTGATGTAGCTTATAACTTAACAGAGGGGGGGAAATTATAAACACATGCATTGTAAGTTTGACATTGATCAATAATTCCATTATACAGTTAGATAGACATTTTAAAATGAAGATGGTTACATGCTCCAAATAATTTTGGAACTTGATATGGGTTTAATAATTGTTTAATAATTTTACTTAAATTGACTTTAAGGAAAATTCCTCTTTAAACCATAAGAAAATTGTGGAGTCATGGAGAGAGCTTGGCTGGTAAAGTTTTGCCTTGTGAGCATGAAATTTTGAGTGACTTCAGTTTGGAGAATCTAGGAAAATTAAAACAGGGGTACAGTCCATTGCAGTCTCATCCCTGGGGAGGAAGAAAGAGTCAGATGTCTAGAGCTTGATGGTCTTCTGGCTTTGCCCAGCCAATCGGTAAGTCCAGGCTGGTAGTGACCCTATCTCAGAAGACAAAGTGGACAAGTGGACACCACTCAGGTTGAGGTTGACTTCAGGCTGCCACATGATTGGGCATGTGTTTCTATATGTACATTCATGAACACACAGATAAGCACACACACACAGATACACAACAAAGATTTAAATATATTCTGTGTTTTGCTTATTGCACAGCAATATTTAACTTTTAATTCCACATTAAGGAAATGTGAAATTTTTGTAATGTACATGCTATTGTTCTTTACACATAGCTAGGTTTGAAGTGAACGGGGGGAATGATGTGCATGAACACCATCTCCATTACAGCACAATCACTCAAGTACACAAATACTCTACTTTAATCATTTTTCTACATTTAATCATTAATTTTCTACATTTAATCATTTAAATGAGTTTGAGACTATATAAATTAATTTAGACAAGAGAACTTGTGTCCTAATTCACTTAATAAAATGTGTATAGCAATCAGCTCCATCAAGAATCTAGGATAGCCTGAAAGATGCAAAAATGAAGAAAGACTCTCTCTTAGTGGGTTCGTTTGAGCTGAACCAATGCAAATAGTGAAGAGGTGGTGGAGAGTAGAATAGATGACTTCTTCTAATCGTGTGCCCTTAAAAATTTCAATTGACATTCTCAGACAGTTCTCAAAAGTCTTACCTTGGAAATGCTTCTTTTAAAGTTATGGTCTCCTCTCTGTTATCTGACTGAGCCTGATTCTGCTCATCATTACATTATTATCATGTAATAATTACATTATTGCCATGTAATCAGAAGCCTTTCTTCCAGTAAAAGTATGAAGTGGAGTCCAATACTGGAATACTTCAAAGATGTTAACAAATGCAACTTAAATAGGTCCTATATTTCATATAATTTATATGACATTGTTCTTGTATTGGACCAATAATTCTTTTCTACATAATTAACCCAGTAAATAATGAAACAGCCTCTTCAATACTCAAATGCAGAGCAACTGACTTTAAATTCCCCTAGCACTTGTCTGCACCACTCTATTTTCTCTTACTTTTCATTAATCATCTGCATTCTCCCATAGCTGTTTGAGAGTGCAGGTGCTACAGTTTAACTACAGTTGTACATTCTGCATCTAGCAGCACAAGGGTCAGTCTCTATTCCAGAGAACTCTTTTTGGTTTTGCAATTCCTTACACATTTCTTTCAGGTTGATGTACTGCAAGTGTGATAAAAGAGAAAACCTAGTCTTTATACCCCTTTATTTTATATTGTAGAGGCTTCATTTTTAATTCTATGAGTTAAAATCCTATAATGAACCATTTATATTTAGTGCATGCTATTCAGAACTACACTAGTGAAATATCATTCATTACTGGTAGAAACAAGTGATTTTTCAATAATTCCGCTTGACTTTTTAATGTTTTCTTTTCAATCCCTTCCTCTTCCCCAGTCTTCATCAGCTGATGACCTATTCTGTTTCAGCTCTTGAAGACTGGGTGAAATAAAGCAGAAAAGGAGTCATGGGATTGTTGAATTGCCTGATTTTTACTTACTTCTTGAGTTTATTTTAAAAGTTTAGGCTGATATTGGTTTAAGCTGTATAAAGGATAAATATGGAAGGTTTTTTGTTGTTTCTTTATGTTTGCATTTTGATGATGGTAAGGATGGAACCTGGGCCTTCTGTTACCACTATAAGCACTCTACCACAGAACAACCATAATGGCTAAAGATTTATAAAGAAGTTGCTATAGGTGAAGCTTCTGAGATGTCATCATAGTAGGTTTATGGAGGGGTCACGTAACAGTAGAATAATGGTGAAGATAAATAGAAATTTATGTATCTTTTAAAAATGTATTCTGAGTATGAGAAGCAGCTTTAAGACTCATAAATCAATACTTGTGAGTCACAAATATCCGGGTCTGAAGGCCATATACTATATTTGATGCATATCCACAACTAATATCCCAGACTCCCGTTTTTGAAAGGGTGGATTTTCTTTTAAAGTGATACTACCCCAGATGAAGCATGAATGCTTCTGGTACACCACAATGAAATTCAGATGTTCAAAGTTCCTCAGATGATGGTTTCAGGTTGTATTTTTTAGTCAGTAGATTAAATAAAATGTTCAGTATCTCTTGGAAAATCCAAAAGTCACTGTAATTAAGAAAAAAATGCATTGTTGTAGGTTTGAAGAAAATTGCTCACAATGTGTTGATCTTAATATAACTATACAATATGGATTATGTTCAATACAAGTTTATTTTCTCTTTAATGAACTAACAAACAGTATTTGCATGTATGTATGTGTATGTATCTATCTTCTATCTACATATCAATCTATATTTAATTATAATATATAATTATAAGATTAATTATATATATAATCAATAAATTTAATTATTAAGATTTATAATTAATAAATCTATATTTATTTATATTTTCTCTGGTCTAGTTGACCTGGGGAGAATATCCAGATAATATAATAGCCTTCATTTTTAAAATTTATTCATCTATGCAAGTGCTATTACATGTAAGAAACTTAAAATTCTTTGTCCAACTAGTATCTTCTAATGTGATCTATGCCAATATAATCACCATCAAGAAACTCAAGGTAAAAATTCCAATGTTTTCAATGTAGGGAAAATGGATTTATCAGCAACATTGTCCTTCTGTCACCTCCAATTTTAAGGCCAGAATATTACATAGCATGCCATTTAACACTGTTATCAAAATTTTATTTTGCATGGTATTGGAAACTAGTTTTTCTTGATTCTTGTATTTGTCTTCTGTCCATCAAAGTACAAGTTCCAGGATATGATGTGGGAAGTCCTTCTGTACAAATGTTGCTTTTCTTGGTTAATGAATAAAGCTGTTTTGGCAGTGGCTTAGCAGAATAGAGCAAGGTGGGAATTCCAAGCAGATAGAGGAGGAAATAAGGCAGAATCAGAGAGATGCCGTATAGCCGCTGGAGGAGAAAGATACCCATACACTAGTACCATTAAACGATGAGTCTCATGGTAAAATATAAAAATAATAGAAATGGGTTAACTTAAGATGTAAGCGCTAGCTAGAAATATACTTAACCTATTGGTCAAACAGTATTACAATTAATATAGTTTCTGTGTGATTATTTCAAGTCTGGGTGGTTGGAAAATAAATGATCAGCCTTCCATTACAATGGAAGGGCTTAGTAAATGCTGCATGTATATACTTGTTCATCTACATTAAATAAATGTATTCTGTGTTACCCCAAATGGATTATCCTAACCAAAGAGCTATCATCTTACCTTTACTAAAAACTATCATTTTGCTTTAGCCTCCATTCCTGAAGATATTTTGTGATAAATAACTCTTGCAGTTAGAGTTCCTAAACTATTTTAATTTAAATGATGTTTTCCCTTTTTATTGTTTCATTTTGATAACTTAAAAAAATGCAATATATATATAAGAAGGACTAAATTCAACACTACCAACAGGTATGCACTCTTTTTAACTTTAAGATATTTTATTATTATATACTTCCTTTCAGTCACTGGATAAGGTCCATATGTTGCATTATATTTTTATAAAATATGGATATTCTGCTGAAACACGGTAATTAATTTGTACAGTTTAAGTGTTAACTTAGCATACTGTTGCACCATTTTCTGGAAGAAAGCCCTTGTGTGTTAGAATGGCTAATTAAAAGGCTGTGCCAAAGTCTAACAACTCAAAAGCTACAAAAATTCCCTACGAACACATTTCTGCTGCACACTTGGCATAGTGATGGGGTCCCTTTAATACCAAAGAGGTCTATCACTTCACGGTGGCTATAGAAATAACATCAGCAAAGGCTAGAGCAGATCTGAAATTGCTTAGAAATGAGGGAGGTTGACAAAGGAGACTACACATGTAGATCAGAAATGAAACACCACTACAGCTAATGGCGGGTTATTTAGAAATTCCATTCATCACATCAATGTACATTTCCTGTCATCCCAAACGGTGATGCTTCCATTAGAGGCTTATTTGCTTACAAGTTTAAGGTGTCCATCAATTTTAAAGTGCTTTCATTAATCATTCTATGTTTATTGTTTGACAGAAAGCAGCATAGACTTTCCTATAGCCACATGCTCATTTTATTATTAATCTGTGTATGTGCAAATTTACACAGTTCTATTTGGATGATTACTTTGGTTTCTCTATGGTATCATTGAGATAAGTAGTGGGCTTTCCTTGTTAAGCACTTAGGACTTGACATCT